ATTTTTAAGTCCTTTCCGGAATATGAAAAATGTTGTTATAAGCTGAAGTCTGAAGACTAGTAAACGTAACTGTTACCCCAAGCACTACTACCGCTACGAAGGTTATTGCTAGAGTATTGACGATGATTTCAAGGGAAAATGACTTATTCATTCAGTAAATATCCCTAATCGGTAGATATTTTGCACAGCATTCGTTATCCATTATAAACCCAACTAACACGAAATTCTGTATTCTCGTTCCGCTAATTACAGAATCATTTACAAATTGTCCTGAGTCTTAATTGCATTCTCAAATAAAAGTAATGAGACCATTCTGACATCGGTTTCAAAATACCTGATTTTATTTGGGAAGCAATTAATGAAAGTAAACCTTTAACTGATACATGTATAGTAAAAAAAGAAAAAGAAAAAAATTAACACTAATCAAAATGCCGGATTAAAATGAAAAATTTTTAGGTCCGAAATTTAAATTCTAAATAGACGAGATTCCATATAACTAAGCGTAGGACCGCATATATCAGAAATTCCCAAAGTATTACGTTAAAGTATGTAGTAATTTGTTCTGCTTCACTTGAAGGTTCCAGCTGTACAACTAATTCACGGATCTTTCCAATGATCTGATTCAGAACATCGACTGTAATCTATAATGGGTAACGTAAAGATATCATTGCTATACCACATGCTAGTTGCAGTCTAATTTCAATTTCAGTACACCTGAGTAAACCGTAATTTCTATCCCTTATCCACATCTGCAAATCTAAACTTCGCAAAAGTTACAAAATGCTTAAAGCTAGTTCTTGGAAAACTAACCTCATTACATCCAGCTTCATAGAAATAAAGATAGTGATTGAAGACAGTTATGTAAAGTTGTACTTGGACGACTGGATCCATGCACTGAGATGCAATACGCAAAGATTTTTTTAAGCAGTTCACGACCTGGAAAAAGATTACTGCATACTGAATTTGAAAAAGAAAAACACTGGCTTAAAAGTCATTTTTCTTACCTGAATCTTTGCCGTAAATCTACTTGAAAAATCTACACATACATTTTGTGAAGCGCTTAGGGCAAACTAAATGGTAGGAGTGCTACTTCCAATCATATACTTCTACATCTGCACAACAGCAAAAAGATGACCTGCACGGAATCTTTCATCGGAAGATCCTCGTCTGCTGTATGACCATTCCAAAACAAGTGTGCCTTAACGAAACAGTACGCTTCACTATAAGTTCCTTTTGCTAATGAATGTCATTTTCATAGTCCTTAAATTTGGTCTTCCAGGGTTCTTAAATTATGACAGTATTATAACTGCAATACTAGCTCACTAAAATCGCTTGTTACTTGTTTTCGAATGAAAAAATATAGTGATTTCTCATGATACTATACATTTACTTCAATTTCTATTTAATAAAATCTAGTAAACTTACTACTAAGCAAACTGCTACACACTGATCAGCTTTTTTGAAAAGCTTAGTTGAAGCATGGGCACACTGAGTGCGTAGTGGTTCATGATTTTCTTCTGTGAAGCACTTTACTCGCTCAAGAGTACCTAAAATTTAATTTTAAAACCAAATTCAGTCATAAAGCAAGATTTAAGATTAAGAATTATTGCTTTTGAAGCCTGAGAAGCTACAGTCATTATTATCTCAAGGTCTACACGACTATTTGGAAAAGTGTTACAACTAATATTAATACAAAAGTGACATTCAATTTTCACAATTCTGAACTAAAGAAAAGCATCCCTATACGAAATGCTCGCACACCTATAAGTAATGATATTGCAGCCAGCTGTCCTCGACTATCAGCAACTTCTTCCTCATAAATGGAAAATGCCTGTAAAAATATTCTTGATAAAAAATGCAGCAACTTTCATCATGCATTCATAATCACATAATATAGGCTTAAAAAATCAAAAAAATAACAAACTTTGGAAAAGAATTCATATGCAACAGTCACGCTGTTTTCAAATTTGATTTGGTCAGCTATCAGCACTCCCTGCAAAACCAGCGTTCATATAAGCAAAAGTGTTATTCCCTATTAGTAAATGAATCATTTTACAATTTTCTTCTTTATGACTGAGCGAAGCATTTCCGATAAGAATTTCGACACTGACATTGGTGCAGTAGTTATAATTAAATAAAGAAATAGATAAAATGGAATCAAACATAACACTACAAACTAATTTTTTGGAGAAAAATGAAGGAACAAAAAAAACAGAAATTGAGAAAAAAATACGGGCCTGTAGATACAATCGTATTGGTAACTGTAAAAATTCGGCTGACAATACTAGAGCGTCTACTGTATGCATACAAAAGACGAACATTTTTTGCAGTTTTGCATCACGTTTCTCCTGAAGTTAGAGATACAGCAAAGGAAAATGTTATAAGCCAAAAATTTAGTATAAAGAGTAAAATGGAAAGATCCAGCGAAATTCACAGACATAACCTACGTCTCTCCTCTGCTTACTTTACACTTTGTTAGAAAAATAATGGCTAGTACATTACAATTAAACCATAATGTCTAGAAAATGCAACTAGTTGAAAACAACAAACATCATCGGTTTCAGCTGCATAGCGAACAATTAGGTGATATAAGGCAAAAGTAATGGTAGGCAGTGAATATTGAATACGATAACATCCACCAGCACCAAAACGTTTTCTCACTGCACTGATTATCTGTAAATGAGCCCATAAAACAAGAATCAATATGTTTGTGAATGGGACAAAAGCTGATCCTGGATAATGAGAAAGAAATAATGTTTATAGCTTAAGGTTGATAACGCATGTCGTTTGTGATATTATCCATATTATACCTTCTCAAGCAAATTCCCCGTTAACGCTGCACATACTATTCTAGGTTTGTTTTCTGATGTGGTGTTTATCGTTATTTCTTAAGCTTTTTGAAATATACCAAAAACTGCTGATCTGTTGTTGGAGCATGGATGAGATTAACAAATCGTGAAACAAGGGCCTGCTCATCAGCAAAATCTTCATTCATTCTTAGATCATCAGGTTGGTCTTCCTGATCCACCAACAATGGTTCGATTAAATTTAATAGTTTCTCCACTGCTTCCATTGTAGTTAAAACTGCATCCTAGAAGAAAAAAATCACTCTGCATCCATTACAATGCTTTTAAGCATTCTAAAAAAAGAAAGTTTCAGAAAAACCTTCGAGAAGAGTAAGCTTCTGGAATCGAACTTGAAAGACTTCCATTCTATTGTGAAATTAACTTCACTGCAATACAAACAAACAAACAAACTTACACTATCCACCATCTTCTGCAAAATATATGCTGCTGCCTGGGTTCTACCACGGTAATCCATAAGTCCTAAGACATTACCATAATGTTCCAACTGGAGTAATTTGTCAATGTTATTGTATTGATCCACTGGAATCCGCAGAATTTTCATTATCTCACGGCCAACAACGCCGCTGTATGGAGCTCTAAAAAGAGAAGAAATACAAAAAATGAGCGAGTTTCAAAACATCCCGCAAAGATAACTTCGTGGTGAAGTTGCTAATACGCATGTTTATGACTAAAAACATATATTTAGGTATGAAAGTCATCAAAGTTTGGTTAGAGCAAAAAAGACTGCATATCTTGCAACAAATCTAAACTGAACATCGTCAAATAACAAAATGTAAAAATAATATTTACCGTGCTATTTTAAATTTAGTAAAAACGTTTGCTGTGGTGGCGAAAACCATATCTGCATAGTCAGTTCTTTCCGGGTAACATTTCAAAGCAAAATTAACGAGGGTAGTCTAAAATTATGTCCGAACCAAATAAATAATCTTATCTTTCGAGTGCTGTTTTGATTAAAAAGGTATTGAAATATTTTTGATTGGAAACAATGAATAACAAACATCAAATATCATACAGAGCTAGAGCGAAATTCTAAAAAAAACAGACCTGCAATGAAACGACATCTTCCGGTGGCATTCCCTCCCGATTCATTATCACTGACTGTGTCTGTTTTGAGAAGATTTCAAATAGTGGTAAATCACTGGGAATTTCAACACCTTCAGATGAAGCGTAAATAGCAAGGCGATCAATTAAAGCTATGAAAACATTTTTTATCTGCAAATGAATCATTCTGCAGATTAACTTGGTAGAAGTGACCAACAGAATCATTAATAGGTACAACCAAATAGAATATTTTGATTTCGAGAACGAATAAAAATTTATTATGGAATTCCAAATTGAAGCAAAACAAGATCTACCTGTACACCTTGATCCAATTCAGAGCAAGCATGAAGAAATTCATGCAAAGTTGCTAAGTGGTACTCATCCGGAAAGACTTGAATAACACATTCCATAAGATATTCTTGAGATATCGCATCTTTGCATGATACGGCCTGCTCCAGAATTCCTGGTAGCACAATCTGAATAAATTCGAGTTAATATTAAAAATCTGAAAGAAAAGTGGGATAATGAATGGTAACAATCATTGTATTTCTGAACATTGATGTTAGATATCCAAAAGCTGTAAGGGCCCGAAACAGACCTTGCGATATGTGTCAATATTGAGGTTTTCCAGCTGCGAAAGCCGAACAAGATTTGTCCCTACCAAGATTCTCAACTCTCGCCGTTCACGTTCACGCTTATCTTTCTCTCGACTTGGCCCTTGATGCTGCATTCGTACCCATAATTTATTCATTTCGGCGAAGTTCACCATAATGAAGTCGATTGCATCTCGTACGTCACCATGATCGCTACTAAAACAATCTTCATATTGTACTGTGACATGATTTCCGACAAATTAATGGAAAAGTTGATAATTGAATTTATATGTGAATCAAAGAAGAATACTTATAATTCATTCGCAATTTTTCCAAAATATAAAAAGCAAAAAAATCGGCCACAGTAACTCCCAAATTCAAAATAATTTTAACAAATTAATAAAGAAAAATACTTGTCACTTTCTGCTATGTCGGGCAACAGATTCCTCGTGCACTGCAACAAATAATTACGCAGAAAAAGACCGCGAAGTGGATGTTGCACACCGCGACACATCTCAACTAAATCCTTCAATATATCTCGAGCATTCGCTTCCCTCAATCTTATGTACACAACACCAACAGTTATTAATAAATACCTACAAAATATTCTATTCTAAAAGAAGACCAGATAGTTATTATAATGTTGAAACATTAATAATTCAGTTCACACAACGGTTTAGTTATTTGAAGTATATAAAAACATTGAAAATGTCAAAATATATGTGACTAATTCATGCATAGGTAAAATATTATTATAAAATTTAGCTGTTCGAAATAACGAAGACTTATTGCATATGCATACAGAGATATTCTTCTAAGTTATTTTTGCCACTATATCTGAAACTTATTTCGTTTCAAACATACTTGCTTCAATACTTCGTATTCTTATAAGTTAGAAATAAGTAGGACTACGAAGTGAACATCGGAAGAAAACCTACAGACGAGGAATAACATTGCCAGCATACTGAACAAGTTCATATAAATCAGCAACTTTTCTTCCTTTTTCATAATCTTCAGTGAGATGTGTTTCTAAGTGTTGCAATTCATTAGTCACATCAACGTCTGAAAAGAATTCTTATGAGAGAAAAATCCACTTTAGATCCCTATACCGATTCTCATTAACTAAAGAATAGTTCAAAATTTTAAGTTTGCTGACGGTATGCACTATATTTCTTACATGAATGTGAATCATAATATAGGCTATCAGATTTGTTTTCTTATAAAACCACTAAGTATGTTATATTAGAGATCTAGGCATGTGTCCAACGAAAACCTTTACAAAATTAAACTACAGATTTTGAAATTTTGAAACTCACAAAGTCTGTAGTAGTATTTCGGTGTAAGCGTTCCAGTCCGCAACTCCGAAAGCATCTGCGATGCGTGCTTTAATGCATCCATCAAAACACCTTTATCCAAACACCGCTTCATTTCGAACGATAATGATCGCACTGCAAGGCATGTTTCTTCCAGTAATTTCTCCTGCTCAGACTTCAACATAAGGGCGTCACCGCTTTTCGTCATTGCTTTTACTGAATTTGTTTTTTATTAATTCTTGTACAACACTATTTTAAAAGCAAATCAGTTGTTCCATGAATCCCGCAATGTAATGTTGGAATTACCCAAAACTAAATTCCGATAATTAGAGCATGAATATGGACTGAGTTTATCTATAGCAACTAAAACAATTGGTCCTAATTCCGAGAAAAATCTTGCAAAATTCAATTAATTTCATTGTCTAATGGAAGACATTCAAGAGTTTTAAATAAGAATATGCCGAAATCAGATAATAGTCACCAGGATGTATCGGGAAATATATAAATTTACTATCAATTCTTGAAAATTTACACATCATTGCTTTGAATTTTATCACAGCATCAAACAGTTTACACGGCATGATTAATATAACTCAAGATTGGCAAAGAAATATTCAGACGTAGGGTTACATGAACAACTATGGAACTGTGGAACTGAAAAGATGATAACCAAGACTGGGAAAATAACTACTATGATTGAAGTGAACAGGAACTGCTGATCCGCTTTGTGGGCCACTAAAAGGCATGAAACAAAAAGTGCTGTAAAACTAGGTCAGCAGCAATTACAAACAGGCAATAATAAAGTGTAATCAAAACAAATACGTCTTATTATCACAATAACAGTCAAAAAATCATAATCTGTAAAATCCGCTAGATTTTTTTTATTCTGATGCTGACATTTCTTACAATCTGTTTTACTTTCGAAATCAATTCCACAGTGAAGAAGTAAATTGAAAATAATATTACAAAGAAAACGCTTATCACAGACAAAATAATGTCTACCATAAAATACTGCAAGAGGTTCAATTCATCGGCACCAGAACGAGCATGAGGAATCTGAAATACCTGTTATGTTATTCATGAAAGTATGATGAAAGATAGAAGTATTATTGCGGACTTAGTTTCTTATTGGTAAGAAAATATGGATAAATGCAATTGAATAACAGTTCCTTTTGAAATAATATAATAAATTCGCGAAAAATTCCTCGAATGAAGTGTAACCTAGTGACAAATCAAATTTACGGAAACATTTTAAACAGCCTAAATCCTTTTTTACCCTCTAAAAAGAATTCCAGATCAACTTCTCAGGTTTATTCCAAAACTTTTTCCAAGATAAAAAGAATACGTCAAATGCCTTGTTAATGCACAAACCTCACTGTGACGCTCAATAAATTCCACCCAAAATGTGGAATAATTCAGCTCTGAATAAGGCACATCTGTCATCATGTTTTGAAAAATGAGCATTTCTTCTTTGTATCTGCAGAATTAGAAGAATATTTGGAATTCAAAGTGCATTTAGCTGAACAGAAACTAATCTTCAAAATGAAATCTTGGAAACTCATGGAAAACTTTTAGAAACTGAAACAGGATGAAAAAGTGCATGAGAAAACATTGACAAAGCCCATCACCAAAAAGATACATCGGTGAATCCCTCTGGGATCCCTCCAAGAAATTCAATTAGAAAATCAAAACTTTCTTCGAATTATAAATCTCCTTGATAGCTTTTGCGATATTTCCCTCGCTTAAATCCCGTTTTTCAAGCATTATGCCAACATTTCGTGCTGTCAAACGCAGTAAATTATCGTAACCGGAAGTAGTCAACGGGTAGCCTATCACAGGTATACCATGCCAAACACTTTCAATAACGCTATTTAGACCACCATGCGTTATATGAGCTCGCGCTTTCGGATGTCCTGAATTATACACAGTAGTTGAAAAGAGAAATCTTATGAAACTTGAAACTTTAACTTGCAGCACAACTGTTTCTCCCAGTTAGCTGTTGACTGGTTGATTCTAACTTTAAAATATTAATCCATTCACGCAGTTTTCATAATGCCCTAGAAAACCAATATTGGTAGCAACCTAGTAAATCCTGTTGTGGAAGCCATTCTGCAATGTATACATTAGCAGATAAGTTTAAAATATTTGGACCATTGTATTGCCAAATAAAGTGTATTTCACGCATTTTCGCAAATGTCTGTACAAAGCTCTCCTGAAATTCTTTCATTGAATATATGAGAATTTGAGTCCTCCTCAAAAAAAAATTTGAGGCAAAAAAACTAACAATTACTTGCTTTGGTGCAAGATTCCATTGTGCTGTAAAACCTGTGGTAAACAATATGAACCCATTTTTCGCATCTGCTTTATCAATAAAAGTAAGCCACTCCTGAAAAATGCCGAAAAAACAAGAATAAATGTACAGAATAGAATATCATCGGAAGCATACTAATTATTCAAAACTTTCTTTACCTAATATGTATGTATTCGCCCAGTGGGAAGAATAATATAAACTGCTGTGACTGGAGAAGATGAAGCAACTTTCTCATAATCGGGTAATTATATAATTATAGTTTTTGGATAAATCATTGAATACAAAAATGAATAAAACATGCTGTATATAGAAAACCATAAAGCGAGCACATAACATGGTAAAACACAAGTGGACATATAATGACATACTCTCCTGAGCAAATTTGCCTTCCGGCATTCAATAGCTCCAATGAAAGCAACTCGTGGCATATACGGCCGCGCAAAATCGAAAATTTGAGGTGTATTAACAAAGTTAATTGAAACATTTCGCTCGATGTAATATGCATTCGCCAGCGTGTCTGCATAATACTTCTAAATGACTGGAGAATTATTACGAAAAAGCTTATGAAACCAATTCTTTATCTTCTTTGTTATTAATTTCAGAATACGACTAAATATAAAATAATCTCGAAATTGTCAAATTAAAGAAGTGTGAGTAAAGAAATCTGTAAAATGATGTGCTGTTAAAATATTGAATAAGAAATTTTTTGTTTTGAATGTTTTTTTCTCTGCAAAAAAAAATTCGAAAGTAAATTAATTGCATGTTTCGTTTCACCTTATACAGGTTGTCGATTCTTCTCAAAATCAAATGCTGATGAATGTAGAGCGATCGAAAATATGAAGCAAAGTTGTATAGTCGCTGCAGGAAAGTTAGATCATCGGTGAATCTGAAGCATAAAATGCATTTATATCTAACCAATCTGTTCAAAACATCCTAAATTGTGTATCCTATCAATTTCATCAAGTTCCTACAAAAAAAAAAAGAAAAGAAAGCACATTCTTCACGAACTTGACAATCTGATAAATGAAAACTCAAGCCTAATTCTCACTTGCATTGCTCTCAGTAATACGTATGGGTAATTTACGATGTATACAAAATATATACTAACTGTGAAAAAAAATCATTCATGAGACAAAAACACACCTAGTGCCAAAAACAGGCAAATAACTCGGAGAATTAGGACTCTGACTGCTCCAAGCTGATTCAGTACGTAAAACAGTCATAGACCAGTAGATAAAAACACTTTTTTGCAAACCAACCAGTAGTAAACCACATGGATTATACAGATCATCCACAATCACCGTTGTAAAATTTTTGGTCACCAAAGCATCGAATTCTTGTTTACGGGTAAGCAAAATCTAAATAACAATAAATAAAAATGTTGTAGAAAATGAGAACACTAAGAGAAATCGAGATAAGATTTTGATCAAATCTGCCAAAAATGATTCAGTTCCAGTAAAGTGAAAGAACTAACAGATTCCTCTACTTCAGAGAATTTTGCATTTTGACTGCCAATTTCTTTTTCCTGAATAACTTACAGGAAGTAAAAACCGAATTCAGAAAATGATGACCTTCAAACACATAACGACGGTGCCTTCTACCTGATGGGATTCTACCCAGACAGATACTGCTAAGATTTCATATAATAAGCAAGAACAAAAACTAACCTGCTCACACATTTTGATACTCGCCAACCAAGCTGTTGTTTGCTCCGTGTCATCATTGAAATCGGCATCCCATATACGAGAATGTACTGAGTGATTCCGATGCAAGTATAAATCATTTATTTCCTGATTTGACGACTTCACCCTCCAGAAGATTTCGTCTATTTCTTTTGGGAGACTGATTTTACTCTGCAAAACATAATATCATTGATCAGACGAGGAATGCTGGTTTTCCCTCCCAACAGATTCCACTGCGATACTTTGAGGCATATAACAATCCTGCAAAACAAGTGAGAACAAGAGAGAAACATAGAAATGTAGCAGGAAATGATTGCAATTTGTCAATACAGACACGAAGGGAAAAGAAATGCCATTTATTTATTCATTTCTCTTCCAACTCTTCAATAACAGAAAAGACGTAAAATACAAAGATTTCAGAAAATTTCCGAGATTAGTTCAGCGACCTAATAACGATGCGGTGAATGAATGAAATCGTTCTAATTAACATATGGCAAGTTATGGAAGAAACCTTCCTGGAGAAACCATATTCAACCCACGTAACATTGTGTTTCCGTTTTATCAACTCTTTGGCGAGAGTACGCATCGTGAACCGATGAACCGGAAATAGTGAGCTTGGCATGATCAATACGTTCGCTGCTTCATTCATGTTTGGAAGTGGGAGCAGAACCAAAAGCAAGCCAATGAAAGCTATCATTCTAAAAATGCTCGTAGCAATAATAACGTGCATACATTCCCTCCCCTACCGACATTGGTTCACACGAGAGACAAATCAGGTTGGATTACATCCTGTCTCTCGTTGACACAACCTTGCTTCATATATAATTAGAGTTATTTTAGGGATATTAACTTTATCCCTACCAAATGCAAAACCCCACCTCGGTTCTTGTCTTAGTACGACATAATGTTTTCAGATCACAACCTCAGACTATTCTCACTAAGAAACTTGAATCCGAATTACTAGCTACTTAGTCAAACATTTCACTGCATCCCAGTATTATCAAAAGCAATGCATTGGTGATAAAAACATTCGCGACTTTGAAGTATAAACTCAGAAAATGGTGCTACATACTAGAATACAATATGGAAAATATTTCCCGCGATATATCACAGAAACGAGAGAAAAACGCAATGGCCGAAATGTCGTAACCTCCACAATTCACAACTCCCAGAAAGGAACCACTCTATCTCAATTCCACCTGGGATCATTTGATCGAACCGCTCTAGCAAGGTGGCATATCTTCCCCAACTAGCTGGTGATATTATAAGATGCCGTGTTGTTGGTTAGTGGATGACAACTGGTACTGTTGCTATGACTCTGACAGCAACTCTACATACACCAGGAATACTGAATGCTTGAAGTAACAATCGATAGTACATCTAAAGCACGCTTTTGACAACTTGCAGAAAGCGTAGTTCCTTGCACAAGTAGTATGACATATTTCACCTCCGAAGTATCCATCTCCCATACAATTTGAGCAATTTGTAAAACATTTCATTTGCGACGAAGGGCTTCTTTCGCTTCCTAACTTATTGTACTCTTGGTTTATGGCGTACTGTACTTTCACTCCCCTTCTGCCTTTCTTGTTTTTTGTCGTCTTCTTCCCGTCACAAATACTTCTTCACTTGCAATTCAAAAGTGTTATGATTCCTGGCGAGGTGTTGACCCTTCTTCATCGTTTTTATGTATCGATCGGATGTTGTACGTGACGAACTGAGACAGACGTGAAATGCTGTTGATAAAATACTGTTGTCTTCAGGGAGGTGAAGTAAAGAGATGAAGATGAATGAGAAGTGGAAAATAACAAAGAACCTGAAACAGTAATCAGGTTCACCTGGTTATTGCTTAATGTATGAACAGTTCAGCTGAAGAAATACATTTTGTCCTAATCATGTTTGATTTTCTTATGTTTAATTTTGGACACATTTCATGAAAAAAAGTTTTTTTGATCTTCGATCTTTTCTTCCAATTATCCTTTTTCAAAGAATTATAAAGAGAAGATCTTTTCTTCCAGAATTGATTTTTCTATCTTATTATTCTTTGAGAAAGGATAATTGAAAGAAAAGATCAATCAAAACACAGCTAGACTGGCATGAATCTACTGCTGCTTGTGGATCGCCTTGTCCTATGCTGCCATTCGGCGTTACAATAAGATCTTTGTCGAGATTTTTAAGAAAAAAGCCACTTTATAAAGTTGATGGATGAAGTAAGTGATAATAACTGCCATCCTAAATTGGATAACCTGTTCCATGCTTAACCGATAAACCATCTTGATTTATTTGAGTGTAGTAGTTTTTTAGTTTTTCGAAAATCTGCAAGTTATTTTTGCTTTAACTCTGTAAATTACCTTAAATACGCTTACCACACTCTTAACAATTTCTTTTTTATGTAACATTAATATGAAGTACAAATTGATGTGGAATTTTTCTCGGTATTACTTTTGATTATCTGTAAATGCGAGCTTTTCAAATTATCGCTTTCAACAGTTGTGCAAAGTGAACTTTTGATTAGATGGGATATAATAATCCGTTATTTGTCTTGATAAACAACGATAATCTGCATTTAAAATGTCTTGGAGCAATCTATCAAAAAGCCTTTTAATCCAGTGAAGTCATGCATGTTCCAAAATATGGTATGCCTTGAAATCCTAGATTTTTATCTTGCTCTTGAAATGAATACTCCGCTAAGGATTGAGGGGTGTAAAAATTTCCGAAAACATTGGTTATATATATATATATATATGTAGAAAGCAGTCATTTATGGATGAAAAAAATCAACGAGGAGAGGTATACCTGATTGACTATTCAGTATTCTATGATTTTCTAGAGGTGCAAATCGTTTAGTCGCCATAAATCGCTTCTTGGTTTTCATTTCCCTAACTTCGAGGAAAACCTTTTTGAAATCAAAACTATGTTTAAACCTACGGTACATGTCAGTCCATTCTTGCTGTATTAATTTGGATCGTCCAAATTAATACTCTTCAGAAGATATTTTCTCATTATTTTCTTCACAAAGGACATTTAATAGAATATTTAAGAACTCCGTGCATAACATGGGTACTTCAATAACATTCCATCCTGGACCATTGACCAATATTTCAATATTCCCAATGTTTACTGTAATTCTTTTATATGTCACTGTGAATCAATTGTTGTTTCCATTTAGTAAATCTGTTTCTTAATCTTTTTTTCCCTTTACTGTAATGGCACACTTATTCTGTCTGGAAGTAGCTTTTTATGTCATTGAAAGATTTCAAATTGATGAAGATAACATGTAGGATAAACATTTCCAACTTCCCATGCCACATCTCTGGAAGTTCCAATTTATCGCTGTATAAAAATTAAATTGGCAAAAGCCAAATCATAATGAAGTTACGCTCATTTGGAGTGGTCTTAATTGCTTTGAAGAAAAAGTCAATTTTTTTTTGACTTTCATTTTTTTTTTTTGTTTCAGAAATGCTGATTTTTCCTTGCAAATTACCACTGCTTCTTATATTTTCGAGCATTATTAGAGCTAGGATAAGAAGTGTGGAGGTTTCGCAGTTTTCCTTCCAAAATCTTACTAACACATCAATGGAAATGCTTGTTAATAGTATTACTAACTTCAACAATCATTCTGATAAAGAATTGGATCTTTTAAGATACACCAGAGACGATGAGGTTGTTCTATGAATTTGATCATAAATTTTAAAAAGTGTATTTAATTACGAAAAATTTGTATAATAAAACAGTGCAGATATTGGAAACAACGAATGAACAAATAAAGTTAAAATTGGGTCATATTGGCGCTGCTGGAACTCTATCACACGAAGATAAAATGCTAAATGTATCACTAGAAGATCTTTATGAAAATGGAATAATTGATGAAAGAATTGACATCGAGTTAGCCCTTTCTTTTAAATGTTTTACAAATCAAATTTATTATTTGTTAATGAATCTGCGTTAGAATTTTCAAATAAATCTTCAAATGTCATTTATTTTGAAACTAATAATGGAAACACCATTCTGAGTACAGTGGAGCTTAGAAATAAAATTTTAATATTTTAGTAAAAGGTAGTAATTTGGATCAATCATGATTTTGAATGAAAGTGATGTTTTATAGAATTTCATCTCGACCAGGATGTGGTTATTCATTTGAAGGCGCAGCAGTTGCAGCCGAGATGTTTTATAAGCAAGAGATTCGTGCATTCATTGGTCCCTATTGCTCTTCAGGTTCGATTTAAAATCTTCAATTTATGCATCAGCAATTAACAATTAGTTCGTTTTAATCTAATATTGGTGTAATATCCTCATTTGGTAGGAAAAAAACAGTTACGGACGTGGTTGTTGTTACCAAAAGTTATTGTCCAAAAAAGCACCAGCAATCTATAGTTACCAGTTCACTATAACAGGGTTGCATAGATGAACCAGTAATCCATGGTTCACTTATGGGACCTTCCTCGGCATTAAAATAGATGACCGTTGCTTCTTATGAACTATTACAGGAGATAACAAATGTTCTTTGAAGACAGGTATACATTAGTAATCATTATGATATACTTTTACATCATGTATAATTACCGCTGGTGATTGCAATTATTCGTAAACATTTGATTGGGAATCGATATCTCATCCAAATATTTGAATATAGGGATAATTTAATATCTCATCTCTTATTATAGAACTGGATGTTGTTGCAAAAATGGCCTCTTTCTGGAATGTACCAGTGATATCGTATGCAGCAACGAGTGGTTTGATTGATAAAACCATTCACCGAACTTTGGCCAGAGTTTCATTTACAAATATGAACTCAATTGCTGAGGCTGTGGCTGCTCTTTTAGCTCATTACAAGTGGTTCAAGGTTAATTTGTTGAAAATATTAGAACAGAAGGATAGAAAATTTCTTTTTTTATCAGGAGAAATCAGTTCAGTACTACTGTGCTACTGAGATGTGATTTTACACTGAGACAGATTTAAACCTAATTTGAATTTTAATTTTGATAAATATTCCACAACTATTTCGGTATCACTAATTTTGATGGAGCTGTCAAATATAAAATATCGTTGAAATATTTATCAAAATTCTCGTTTCCTTATTTTGAATTTTTTGTGAATACAGGCATATAGAAGGTAACAAAGCATTATCTCGTTGTTTCTATAATTATTTCCCTCTATAAGATTTGCATTGAATCCTCTTGCTAAACTGCTCTGTTAAAATACTGAGATACTGAGATAATTATACCTTTTCTTATTGATATTGATATGGTCTAAAGAAATAATTCTGTGTTTATCAATGGTTAGGTAGCAATAGCAACAAATACTGGAGCTATCGATCGGGTGTTAATTTTGGAACAAGTGTTAAAAAGACGACAAATAACTGTGGTGAAAAAAGTGATATTCGAGATGAATTCTACTTCGGAGGAGATGATTGCAAGTGGCCTGATCAGTCAACTTCGCAGTAGCGCTAGAAGTATGTCATTGGTTTGAAATATGATGGATTTTCCTTCTTTTTAAAATAATGTATTTAGTATTTTTTAAATGATTATACGAATGATTCTCTTGTAATTACATGTTCTTAATGACTACAATGTTCCGGTTTTTTTTTAATGATAACATTGCATCTTCTTTAATGATAACCATTTTATCAACAAATAGTGTGATAAGAAAAATTATTCATAAAATTTCATTTTTACAGTTATCATTTGCTCCTTCTCATCAATGCTGCAAATGAGTAGAGAGTTCATGGCAGCAACCTATAATGTCGGTATGCACTCAAATGACTTTGTCTATATATTACCGTGGAGTCGGGATGGTAAGGTAAACAGTGTGCCCTGGGTTGGTACCGCTGGTGAAACCATGCAAAGAGTAAGGGACCAATATGAAAATGTTATTATGGTACACATTTTAAACACTTATAGAAAAAGAACTCTTCTACTTTTAGATTCATGTTAAAAACATCAAAACGTTGAAAGATTGGTGATATAATCTAAAAATTATAATTAATGGATAATCGAGATGGAGTCGATCAGAGATATTCCCATTTTAAGCTGGTAGCTATCTGAATAGTAGGATTTCAAAATTCTAGCCTGAACAGTAAGCCATGGAAACTGGAATTCATACTGCTGGTCATTTTGTTTCTCTTTCTCTTGTGCCTTGTTATTACGCTTCACTACATAGTATCTTCTGATTTCTAAGATCTAGATTGAGAATTGAACTATAAGCTCTAATGGCTGCATCCGAAATATCGATCTTCTGCAGCAGACGATTTAACCTTTATCACAATGATATGATATATCAATTCATTTCCTCTTTTTTTTTCAACCAATTTGGATCCAATGAATGATTAGAACTTGAAAAGTGCAACTAATACATTATATATATTTTTTATATTGATGATGCGACCGGTTTTGGTAACGAATATATGTCCAAATTTTTGGCTAAAATTGAGTCGAAAGGATTATCGCGTAATGTTTTGGATTTGGTAAGTGAAATGAACATTTTACAAATTTATGAAATGAAAAAAATAAATAAATTCTTCAAGATGAGATTTGATTTCAATGTTACTCACAAGATACTGCAAGGCACACTTTATCGATATGGCTAAAATCTGTTTACCAGTAACTAACTATATCTGTGTTGTAAAGGCCATTCGCTGCTTTAATTAAGAAAAATATTTCGGAAACTAAATATAAACAAGGCACTTGTTCTTTCGTAAATGGTTAATTCCTGAAATCCGGAAATCTTTCGAGATGCAGCTAGAGTTAGAGAAGTATTACTTAAGAGCGTTTTCATTATATCATTTTCAGGATAATATCTATTCCTACTTACACATATACGATGCATTGATCTTATATGCATATGCCGTACGAGCACTCCTCAACGAAACAAACGATCCTTCGGCATTGAGTAATGGGAAACTTATTTGGAACAAGATGAGACGTGTGAAGTTTGAAGGTTTTGAATGATTTTACTTATTTCATTACCCATTACAATAAAAAGGCAGTTTAAAAGGGTTATTTGTCTGCAGGAGGCACGACAGGTTCAGTTATAATGGATGATTTAGCCGATCGCGTGCCAAATTTAGCAGCTTTTTATGTGCCAACAAATGGAAAGAAAATTTTGAAAATTGTTAATATGAGCTCGAAGTTGAGACCAAACTGTGACGGGATACTCAGCAAGTTTGGATGTTATGATTTGGTAAATGTCTGCTTTTGAAACGACTGGATAGGATCAAATATGATAACATTAAACATTTTGATTTTGCCCTGATAACTTCTTGGAGCACTTTTCTATGAACAGAAAACTTCTCAGTGTCCGTAATATATCCGTCTTGCATATGAGGTAAAATGTGAGCTAAAACTATAAGTATACTCTACAATTATAGCGCAAGGTCAACAGTATTTTTCGTAAGAAAAAAATGCAGAATAAGCAACCATCCTAAATAATTTGAAGCAAGCATGTGCGCATTTTCTGTGTCATTTAAAAAACATTACCGTGGATTTTGGGATCAATTCTAGTTGGTGACGGATGTGATAACAGGATTCTGGCCTAGCCATGATGCTTTGCTGCCTCTGGACGAACCTATTTGCGGTTTTCGTGATGAGAAATGCTCGTACCTGATAGAAATTATTTCTGGCAGTACACTAATTGCACTTGTTATGCTTATCTTGTTATCATATTATGTTTATCGATGCTGGTAAGTATAAGTCTATCAATCAGAGCTAAATCCCACTTTTTTCTTAAAGTTCCTTTTTAATAATTTATAAATATCATATTATTTCGTAGTGAATCACGAACTCTGCGCAAAATGCCTTGGCGCATATACAAGGACGATGTAAAAATACTAGACGACGAACAGCTGAAGTCATTGGTATGTTTCACCGACCAACTTGATCTGAAGGAAATTGTCGAAATAGAAATTTTTGAATTTAAAACAATTAAACCTTCATTTTTTGATGAATTGTTCACTCCATGATCTCACTGCTCTTTCATTACAAGATTGCACGAGTTTGTGCGGGTTTCAGTAGAACATTTCCTGATCAGGAAAGTTATAAAAAACATTTCCCACTACTAAAATCTATCATTTTTTATCATACTATAGCCGGTGAATAAATAGGAAGGTTGAAAAGGTAATAGAAAATACCGAATTAAGGACGTATTTTCAAAACTTTTTTTTTAGAAGTCGATCGGAAGTTCGACTACGAGAATGAGTGAATCAAGTATCGGGCAAAAAAAGCATGCACTTGTTGGCGTTAATACTCACGTCACTTATCATTTATATCCACAACGACGTCCAATAAAATTTGGGCGAGAAGATTTAAAGCTTCTCTCGCAAGTGATTTGGTTCTTTCATAGTCTTCTAAAACTTATAACTCTTCTCAATTATTCCAGAAGTTGAAAATCAGTGACCTAAGAGCCAACAAGATCAGGAATATATTTATCGCCAACATTAAGAATTCATTTAAACTGCTGGCTTATTTGCTTGAGATGTTACATTTCCCGCATTATTTGTTATTTTTATTTCTCTTTCTCATATCTGTGATTTGATATTCGCAGATGAAAGCGGCAATACACGATAATTTGAACACATTTATTGGATTGGTATTTAACCAAGGCGAAAATGTGTTTATAATTTGGAAATTTTGTTCAAGAGGAACAATACAAGTACAATAACTTTTCTAAATGATTTAGTTTTAAAGTAATACAATACTCAGCAAATTAAGAGAATTCAACACTTAACCTACGAAATAATAGGCTCTTGCTTTCAGGATATCATTTATAATCAAAATTTGACCCTGGATGAAAAATTTCATGCAGCGTTTGTTCGTGATATTACGCAGGTAATCAGCCATATATAAATTAAAATTCTTGGATAGCAGCAAATTTTTGCTTTGCACTAGATCAAAACGTTTAGAATAATGTAGGTGAACTACGTACTTATTGGACATTAAGTTATTTGTTCAGGTACCGAATAATTTAATTAATTTCTAATTTATTTAATTTTTTTGATAAATTTTACATTACCAAGATATGTCTAATTTATTTACTTCAGGGTTTAGAATACTTGCACACATCACCCATTGGTTACCATGGATCGTTGTCACCATGGGCATGCCTGATCGATCGTAATTGGATGGTAAAGTTAACTGATTTCGGGATTGCAAATTCGATCGAACGTTGGGAAAAGCAAGGGTGGATTTCACAGAACGCACTTACTTCAGATGATGACAGAAGTGGGCCTACACAAAGAACATGTACGTTTTTCTTTGAGAAAATAGCAAGTTAGTAAACAGGAATTTCTTGGAAATCCTGTTTGATTAACCAGGCCTGAGATGTCAGTTGCCATCCAAATAATGTCAGCATATGACGTGCGACTGCACAGTTTTTAAATTTCTCTGCTTTTAAATTTGGCTTAAATGCTGAGTTATCCAATGTTAAATCTGAATTCTCCGTATCATTTTCTGTATTTTTGTCATACTAACTTCCATTTCTCAGTTATGCCGGAACAAACTGTAAGCCATCCTTACCCTTGTAGCTGTACTTTATTGCGCCCCTGAAATGTTGAAAAATCGAGAAATAAATCGGCGATCAATAAAGGACGAAGATTGGAAAAAGCAATCGAAAATTATTCGACAAGCTGGTGATATTTATTCATTCGGAATGGTCATGTATGAAATCCTTTTCCGCTCGCTGCCTTACCCGGAAAATATAAATATTAATGGTACATGGATAGTTTCTTTATCAGATTATAATTTTGAAAATTTTGCTTGCTCAATTCAGACCGTTACTTCATAGCCGAATTTTTTAGTAATTTTTGATTAGGTTGAAGCTTCCAGTACTTGTCATAATTTATTTCATTTAGACTTAGACTAATTTTTAAGTTCACTTGTGATGTAAGCGGGAAGTAATACAATAGTGAAAATGTTTCTATAGAATTATAGAATTGTAGAATTGGTAGATACTATATCGGATGGGAGCAGAACATTTCCACCGCGTATAATTCATTCCCGCAATGTGCATCCTGATCTATGTGCGCTTTTGGAAGATTGCTGGTCCGAAAATTTGGAAGTCAGGCCGACAATACGACGAGTTCAGTTGAACACAAAAAGAGTCCTAGAAGTGTCCGTTTTTTTTCTTTTTCTTAGAGTAGGCAGATTGTTTAGCAAATAATATAATGCTTACTATATTATTTCGAGATCTATTTGATTTTATTACTGTCGTTCGTCAGAAGAGGCAGTTTGGTTGATCAAATGATGTCAGTAATGGAGCAATATGCCACGAATCTGGAGAAGCTGGTTGCTGATCGAACTGCAATGCTTGAAGACGCAAACACTCGAACCGATAAATTACTATCACAATTACTTCCGCCGTAAAGATTTTTTTACCATGGAGCTCATAAGTTATAATTAAGCCTCCATTTTCATATAAACCATCGAAGTCCTCGAAATATGATTACTTGAAGGTATGTTGCAAATGAACTCAAACTTGGTCACTCCGTTCCACCCAAATTATTTGAAATGGCAACGGTGTTATTTTCGGATATCGTTGGTTTCACAAATATTTGTTCCTCTTCAACACCTTTGGAAGTTGTTACGATGCTAAATGGTTTATACAGTGGCTTTGATGAGTGCATTAATCGTAGTGGTGCATACAAGGTTTATTAAATATTTAAAAAAGAAATAAACATAAAAAATAAAAAAATTATGTTGCAATAAAGTTCAATTTTTGGTAGCGAATTTCTTGGCTTCAGGTGGAAACAATTGGCGATGCATATATGGTTGTTTCGGGGATACCCGAGGAAAATGGTACCAAACACATTCAATGCATTGCTGATGTCGCACTGGATATGAGAGATGTTAGTCATTTGAAATAAAAAAAATGAGAGGAGAAAAGTAAGCATACTTTTCATCAACCTTCTGTTGGAATTTATTGTTCCTAAAAGTTTACTCCTTCTAATCAAAAGCAACCGAAATCATTTTTGGATCAGGTCTCAGATATATTTCACTTATATTTTATAGTACCTGAATACCTATCAAATACCACATCGGTCAGATAAGCTACAGTGTCGCTGGGGTTTCCATACTGGTCCTGCAGCTGCTGGGGTTGTAGGACTCACATCGCCTCGCTATTGTCTTTTCGGTGACACGGTTTGTGCTTTATTTCCTCCTATTTCTCGAGATAGAATCGTTAGAACAAATACAAGCTTGGAAAGGTGAAGAGTTAGGAAAAGGCAAGAAAAGCTTCACCTGATGAAAACACGGGAGAAATGACTGAGAATAAAGAAGTTTTAATCAGCAGTTAAAACAGCAATTTTAATCGGACTTTTTATGTCTTATGGTTTGATTCGAATCATTTGAAATGAAATGAGATGATATATTATTATTGAGGTGAATGAAGCATCTCGAATGGAAAGCACCAGTTTTCCCGGTAAAATACAGATCAGTTCGGATGCTCGGAATTTCTTGATGATTCATTACCCGTTTTATGCATGTCAAGAAAGAGGGAAGATAGAAATAAAGGTATCTCATACTTCACTGAAAGCATAAAAATCCCAAAAATCTGAAAGACTGCCTGCTGTGATATTTGAGTAAGAACAAAACAATGCACATTGTTTTCATTTTCTGAACAATCTTGGAATTTGCATAAACCCCAAAACTTATTTTCTTAAATTGTTCCAGGGTAAAGGAGTTCTACAAACATACTGGCTGGAAAAGAAATTGGATGATCAATCAACGATAATCAATAATACTCCTAGTGATGCAGCAGTGTAATCGACACATATCAATGAGCATCCTCATTTTTGTGATTCTTCCGTATTGGCTTAAAAAGACATATTTCCGAATCATTTGAAGTGTAGAAATTTTAATGGAAAACATTTGTAGCTTAATAACATAGATCTAAAATTGACATTTAAAGATTATTAACAAAATAAATATTGGGACAAAATCCTGTCCAATGCTATATTTAACGCTGAAATAACCTCCCATGACCTCTTATGTTTGGTCATCTTTGGACCAATTCAAGAAGTCTCTTACAGACTCCGAACTGCTGAGCATACAAATATCTGTTGTGATGCAGAAATATGCAACAATCTAAGAATGATTTCTTTTCACATGTAAATTTCGCTAATGCATTAAACAGAAGTAATGTTGTAAGTTGTTTAGTTGACGATAATATACAAGTTTTGCTACAATTCTTAAAAGGTGTTTAATCATCACTAACGTACAATAAAATTTATCCTCTTCTCTTTAGCTGGAGCAATTATTGAAAACACATTAAGTTTGTGAGGTTGACAAGTATCAACTACATGTCAAATACACTTCTAAGTGAAATTACAGAAACATCATAGATAACTGTTACTAGTCATTTAAACCACCTATCTTAATCAGTCAGTAATTAACAATCAGTATTCATAACGTTCGAGTTATGGAATAACGTTTTAAAAAAATATGACTAAGAGAAATAGAATTCTTGTTAACGAACATATATTAGGGTTAGAAGATGCAAGATCACTCCCATGCAATGATAACCAACCCGTATTACTCTTCAGCGATTTTCTTCCCTTCTGTTACGCTACTTTCATTACTTATTCACGATGATGAGAAAGACCCACTAATTTAATTCTCGGGGTATGCCATAGTATTCTGTAAATCAAAGCTCGTACTTTTTCCGAATTTTATATTTCGAACCTGTCTTTCTTCACTTATAAACTCTCCCTGAGTTCACTTTTCTCTCCCCCTCATATTTCAAATAATCCATTCTTGTCACGGTTTCATTAATACGAACTAAGGTAGGAAAACAACAAGCAAACTGAGAAGCCACAAATTACAAACCACGTAATCGCGAACGTAGGTGAAATTGCTACAATAATTGCAATATCAGCAGAGTAATTTATTTCAATCAAGTAAAAATAACTGATGCTATTTCGGTTTCATTGACATAAATTGTTAGTTGATCAGCTTGATCTTAATTGAAATAAACTGCTAGTTGATCACAAACTAAGGTAAGAAAAAGTCTTAAATTCTCAGAAACGAGAGTGGATTTCCAATAGTTTGCATCCAAATTAAAATCCCGGGGAATATATCAGCTCCAACAATGCAAGTACGTTCATCCAGGTCATCCACCTCAATCATCATACTGGTCTTCGGATTCAAATAACAACTTTGCTATCAGCTGGATGGAATACTTTACCATCATCAACAAGCAGAAATCCTGTTCAGTTGCAAATTATAGATAATCGTTAGAATTTTCAGTCAAAACACCAAATTTGTCATTTATAACGTCGTTTAGTGAATCACAATCCATTACCGAATATTAACAGTTAAAAGTAATAGTAAACTGATTTTATTAAGTGATCAGTGAGTTCATTTTCTTTCTTTATCAAACATCAATTCTCCCAATATTCCAGATGTTTAGTCGAGCCAAATTACTTCTTAAACAATAATGTAATCAACGGTGTTTTCCAGCATTTTCAAAGATTTCTGTAAAGCATTGATATTTTCCTCTCAGATTTGAACGCCTAAGAAAAGCATATATCTAGAAAAAATGGATTAAAGTTACACAAACAC